GAGGCTGAGATCTGAGGATCATGGTTTAAAGTGATCCCTGGCAGACAAAGCTGAGACACTCTTATCTTTAATCAACTAGCAAAAAGCCAGAAGCTGAGGTGTGGCTCAAGTGGTAGAACACTGGCTTTGAATGAATAAAAGCTAAGCAAGAGCAAAAGGTCTTGAGTCCAAGCCCCAGGACAGGCAAAACAAATAAATAAATGGGCACTTTAAAGGTGATTTAGGGGCTGGGAAGGTGGCTTAGTGGTAGAGTGCTTGCATAGCATGCATGAAGCCCTGGGTTCGATTTCTTAGTACCACATACACAGAAAAAGCTGGGAAGGAGCGCTGTGGCTCAAGTGGTAAAGTGCTAGCCTTGAGCAAAAGAAGCTCAGGGACAGTGCCCAGACCCTGAGTTCAAGCCCCGGGAATGGAGAAGAAAAAAAAAGGTGATTTAGTTAGTAGCTATACAGTGCTTAAACCCACATAACTGGATCACTCACTGCTAGCCAGCCATTCAGGCTGAAATTTTAAGAGGAACGGAACCTGGTGCCCAATCAGGAAGCCCCAGCTGCCTAGAGACCTCTGATCGTGAGCTACAAGTGGTCCAGACATAGAGACATGCAGTTATGTCACATAAAAGGCATGCCAACCACAAAAGTAACTTCTTAGTTTACTCATTTAAAATCTGATTGTAGCCGGGCACCAGTAGTTCAGGCCTATAATCCTACTCAGGACACTGAGATCTGAGGATCATGGTAGGAAGAGAGCCCAAGGAAGAAAGTGCATGAGACTCTTAATCTTCTATTAACCACCAAAAAAAGCTCAAAGTAGAGCTATGCCTCACACAGCAGAGTGCTCGCAGCGAGCAACAAAGCTCAGGGGGCAGTGCCCAGACCCTCTCAGCTCAAAGACCCAGGACTGGCACAAATTAAAATAAAATAAAATGAAATCTGATTTTAAACAAGTCAAAATAGCATATACAATGGATGCTACAACATAAAAACCAAGACCTATTTTTAAAACCTAAAGGTTATAGTTTTGAGAGCTTATTTTCTGGATATTACAAAAGAGCCCAACAGAATAGATCTATCTTCTTCTCTTTACAAATATACACAAATATATTCTGTATGTGTGTGCACGTATGTATATATAGGTGTATATATATGTGTGTATATATATATATATATATATATACAGATAGATATATCTAGATATCTATATCTATATATAGATACATATATAGATATCTATACCTATATATGTGTGTATGTATATATATATATATAATCACCCACACACATACATATGCATGCTTCCATTTCTCTCCAAATTTAGGCATCTGTATATATCTGTAGAGAATTAAACAATTTAAAGAACTTCTTTTTTTAGCCAGGAGCCAGTGGCTCATGCCTGTAATCCTAGCTACTCAGGAGGCTGAGATCTGAGGATCACAGTTCAAAGCCAGCCCGGGCAGGAAAGTCTGTGAGACTCTGATCTCCAATAAACCATTAGAAAACCAGAAGTGAGGCTGTGGCTCCAGCGTTAGAGCGCTCACCTTGAGCTGAAGAGCACAGGGACAGCACCCAAGCCCAGAGTTCAAGCCTCATGACCGACAAAAAAAAAAAAACTACTTTTTTTGTGCCAGTCCTGGGGCTTGAACTCAGGGCCTGGGTGCTGTCCCTGAGTTTTTTGCTCCAGGTTGGTGCTCTACCACTCAAGTGGTAACTCCACTTGCAGTTCTTGGTAACTAATTAAAGATAAAGACTCTCACAGACTTTTCCTGCCTGAGCTGACTTCAAACTGCAACCCTCAGATGCCAGCCTCCTGAGTAGCTAGGATGACAGGCAGGAGCCAAGAGCACCTGGCTTAAAGAACTACTTTTAGTGTCAGTTTTAGAAAAAGATTTCTCTGAACGTTCCACAAGTAGAAGCCTGATTTTGTTTGGTTCCAAAATTAGTCATTTCAATAGTATAAGCTACTTTTAATGTTCTGCTGAAGAGGAACACCTTTGGAATGTACTTTTATATATATAGAAAATACATAGAGGGGCTGGGAAGGTGGCTCAGTGGTAGAGCTCTTGCCTTGCATGCACGAGGCCCTGGGTTCGATTCCTCAGCACCACATAAGCAAAAAAGAAAAAAGCCAGAAGTGGTGCTGTGGCTCAAGTGGTAGAGCACTAGCCTTGAGCTGAAGAACTGAGGGACAGCGCCCAGGCCCAGAGTTCAGGCCCCATGACCGGACCCGAAAAGAAAAAAGAAAATACATAGAATTGCAAAAGCTCCCTTAACAGCAAAGCCAATTGAAGCACTGTGCTCAATCTATGATTTTTTTTTTTCCATCAACAACCATTACGAATCCTGATCCCCACTGAAAACCAAATAAAACGTGTCTGCAATCAATGATAAAGCCTTGGAGAGGCACCAGGCACTGGGAGGCAGAGGCAGGATTCACACCGCTCACTCGGGGGACAGAAGGCTCACATCACCTCACAATCAACGCGTGAGGGCAGGTCGGCCTGCAACATCTGTACCGTCTCATCACTCATAAAGCCGTGTGACAGAAATCGGTAGTAAATCTATTTGGCCAAATGTAGATTCAATTAAAACTCGGATAATAAGATTAGAAGCAAAAGCCCATATGGAGAACTACAGCAGGGAACTGTGGGAAAAATAGGTTTCAATATCCCTGCATCTGGACAACAGTTCCCAGCCCGGCTTCTCAGGAGGCAGGACTCAAGCCCAGTGCTGCTGGGAGGGAAGAAGGGAGGGAAGTAGGGAGAGAGGGAGGGAAGGACAGAGACCCGCACAGGCTCACTGAGTCTCTTCCTTCCCTGGCCTCCAAAGGGCGCCTACAAGGAATACCAGAGTGCTAGGGAAAATTCTAGCATGTGTCCAAGCTGCCAATGTCAAGTGCTTGATGTTCAGTGTGAGACTTTATATGCAATCCACAAAGAGCTAACTTGATGATTAAAGGGCTCATCTGCTCAGTCATAAATCCATTTTAGTTGGAAATTTTTTTTCTTTACTTTCTACCATACATGGTTTTTTGTTGGGTTTTTTTTTTGCCAGCCCTGGGGCTTGAACTCAGGGCCTGAGCACTGTCCCTGAGCTTCTTTTGCTCGAGGCTAGCACTCTACCACTTGAGCCACAGCGCCATTTTTGGCTTTTTCTGTTTATAGATATTGAGGAATCGAACTCAGGGCTCCATGCAGGCTAGGCAAGCACTTTACCACTAAGCCACATTCCCAGCCCCTATACCATGCATGTTTATAGCATAAAACTCTTTTTCAGCCAGCAAAGATCAGAAGGACAGGGAATAAAACTCAACGAAGACAGGTGAAAGACACACAGCTAATGTCTTTTTCTCCAGTGTTCTCGGGTCAGAGCTACGTGAAGTGAATGTACATACGGGAACTGCAGCATTTTATATACCATATATAAATTACTTTATGCCATAACAACATTCTCAGGCAAATTAAAATTTAAACTTTCTTATTAAACATTATTTGAAAGCTGGGCACTGGTGACTTACACCTGTGGTCTTAGCTACTCACAAGGCTGAGATCTGAAGTTTGTGGTTCAAAGCAAGCCTGTGCAGGAAAGTCTGTGTGACTCTTATCTCCAATGAACCACCAGAAGTACAGAAGTGGTGTTGTGGCTCGAAATGGTAGAGTGCTAACCTTGAGCAAAGGAGTTCAGGGATAGCGCCCAAGCCCTGAGTTCAAGCCCCACAACTGACAAAAAGATAATAATAATTGTTTGCTCATTGAGTGAAATCCTCATTCTACATTCCTATCATATATGAAACTAAGCCCACAATAATCAATCAGATTTTCCTCTACCAGCATTGAATTCAAGAAAGAATAACAGGGGCTGGGAAGTTGGCTCAGTGGTAGAGCGCTTGCCTTGCATGCATGAGGCCCTGGGTTCGATTCCTCAGCACCACATAACCAAAAAGAAAAAAAGCCGGAAGTGGCGCTGTGGCTAAAGTGGTAGAGCGCTAGCCTTGAACTGAAGAGCTGAGGGACAGCGCCTAGGCCCAGAGTTCAGGCCCCACAACCAGACCCCCCCCCCAAAAAAAAAAAAAAAAAGAAAAGAAAGAAAAACAGAGCTGGGCTCCGGTGGCTCACGCCTATAATCCCAGCTACTCAGGAGGCCAAGATCTGAGGATCACGACTCAAAGCCAGCTTGGACTTGTCCATGAGACTCTTTTTTTTTTTTTTTTGGTCGGTCGTGGGGCTTGAACTCTGGGCCTAGGTGCTGTCCCTCAGCTCTTCAGCTCAAAGTGAGCGCTCTACCACTTGAGCTACAGCGCCACTTCCAGTTTTCTGGTGGTTTATTGGAGATAGGAGTTTCATGGTGTCTTCTGCCCGGGCTGGCTTTGAACCGCGATCCTCAGATCTCAGCCTCCTGAGTAGCTAGGATTACAGGCGTGAGCCACCAGCGCCCGGCTGAGACTCTTATCTCCAATAAAGCACTAGAAAACTGAAGTGGCGCTGTGGCTCAAGTGGTAGAGTGCTCTCCTTGAGCAAGAGCGCAGGGACAGCGCCCAAGCTGAGTTCAAGCCTCACGACCAACAAAACGAAGGAAGGAAGGAAGGAAGGAAGGAAGGAAGGAAGGAAGGAAGGAAGGAAGGAAGGAAGGAAGGACAGACAGGGCTGGAGGGCAGAGCAGCAGCAAGCCTACTAAACATCTGAAAGGGCAGAACTTACTCTTGTAATCCTAGCTACTCTGGAGGCTGAATGTGAGGAACAAGGTTCGAAGCCAGCCTAGGCAAGAGTGTGTGTTAGATTAACCACCACAAAGTCAACATTTAAAGCTGGGGCTGAAGTGGTAGAGCGCCAGCCTGGAGTGAACCAGCACCCAGACCCTGAGTTATGCCTCAGTGACGGCACAAACAAACCAAAAATGAACCCAATCTCTGCACCATCACGATGGTTTACTCTAGCCTTACACCCAAAACCTTTTGTTCCCAACTGGCCAGGGAGGAAGGATGGAAGGCGGCCCCGAAGGACTCACCCAGGCCACTGAGTGTGTAGAGAAGGTCGCTGGTACGTAGGAAGATCGGGCCGTGTTCCTGCTGCCCCTCTTCTTTGTAGAAGAGCTTGTAGCCCCGGACGGCGGCTCGGTCCTGAGCGCCCAGCTGCCACCTCACCGAAATCGTGGTGCAGTTCAGAGGGTCCAGATACAGCTCTGGAGACTTCGGGGCTAGAAGAATTCACCAGGAAATGAATGCAGTGTTAATGACCCATGACCCACCCTCCGAAGGCTACGGAGGGCAGGCCTGTGGGACAGCGCCAATGCTTCCTACCTGACAGCCTAACTTCACTGTCCAAATTGTCAGCAAGAGAGAGCGCACTACTTGAAAGGCTATGATAACAAAATACTATCTGCACAAGTATTTGTCTATTTAATATTTCTTCATTAAAGGTAATTTTTTTCAAAGAAGCAGTATTTTCTGGTTCTGACCATTCAATACCCTTCTGTGATAGAGAACAAGCATTATCGTCAAATAATACTAAAATCAGTCATGAGTAAGAGGGCTAGAATTTTCCATTCTCATAGACCTCCTCCCTCTCCCTTCCTTCTCTCTCCTTCCTTCCTTCTTTTTACTCATCATTCTCCCCCGCCACCCTCCTCTCTTTCTCTTTCTTTAACCTACCACATTGAACCATATCACTGTCTTTTGCTTTTTTTTTTTTTTTTTTTTTTCCTGTTTCCCAAATAAGATCTCACATTAACTTTTGCCCAGGCTGGTCCTGAATCCCAATCTTCCTATCTCTGGATGAATAGCTTGGATTACAGGGGTATAGCACCATGCCTATCTCTTTTCTTTCTTTTGAACTGATGATTTCTTAAAATAATATAATAGAGCAATATGAAAGTCTCCCTTAATATATTCCCTCTACTAATTCTGATTGATCGGGCTGATCTGTCCGAGAAAGTTTTCCAAAGCCCATCAGTAGTTTATCCACTAGTTAGTTCTAATCCAAAGGGACTAGAAATAAAAACTTTCAATGTTTCCAACTAACTCCACCACCTGTGGAATTTTTTTTTTTTTTTTTTTTGGTCAGTCGTGGGGCCTGAACTCTGGGCCTGGGCACTGTCCCTCAGCTCTTCAGCTCAAGGCTAGCGCTCTACCACTTGAGCCACAGTGCCACTTCCGGCTTTTTCTGCTTATATGGTGCTGAGGAATCGAACCCAGGGCCTCATGCATGCAAAGTAAGCACTCTACCACTGAGCCACCTTCCCAGCCCTACCTGTGGAATATTTTTATTTGTAAGACACCAACAACAAAAGTAAGCATAGCCTGGCACTGGTGGTTCATACCTGTAATTCTAGCTGCTAAGGAAGCTGAGATCTGAGGACTGCAGTTCAAAGCCAGCCTGGACAGTAAAATCTGTGAGACTCTTATCTCCAATTCATCACAGAAAAAGCCAGAAGTAGTGCCATAGCTCAAATGGTATAGTGCCAGCCTTGAGCAAAAGGAGCTTAGGGACAGCAGACCCAGGCCCAGAGTTCAAGGCCCAGGACCGGCAAAAAAAAAAACCAAGCCGGGCGCTGGTGGCTCACGCCTGTAATCCTAGCTACTCAGGAGGCTGAGAACTGAGGATCAGGCTTCAAAGCCAGCCCAGGCAAGAAAGTCCGTGAGACTCCTATCTCCAATAAACCACTAGAAAACCGGAAGTGGCGCTGTAGCTCAAGTGGTAGAGCGCTCGCCTTGAGCTGAAGAGCTGAGGGACAGCGCCCAGGCCCAGAGTTCAAGCCCTACGACCGACCAAAAAAAAAAAAAACAAACCAAAAAACCACCAAGCATAATTAGGGGCAAATCTGGTTCCAAAGTGAGAGCACCACGCTGTTCCTCGGGGGGGGGGGTACCTTGCACACTGGTGGCTTTGGGGGTCCTGTGTGAAGTCCACACGGACGACTCCCCCAGTCCCACTCGGGTGGCAGCAGCAATCCGGACCAGATAGACACAGTCGGGTTTCAGGCCTTCCAGAAGGTGCTCGTGCGTGGTCCCGGGGAGCTCCAGGACCTGGATGTGGCTGTCGGAGCTCAGGCGGAAGGAAAGGCGGTACAGGACCACCTGACCACGCCGATACTTGGCGGGGATGGGCAGCCAGGAGATGAGGATGTCCGTGGGACTGCGGCTGGTCAAGCTAATTTCAGGAGGTCTCAGAGGAACTGGTCATAGAGGAAAACACATGGTCAATACTTCAGCAAGCCGCCGCTTTTATGCAATGCCACCCAGCCACTGAACGCTGCTTGGGGCTTAACTGCAGGGCCTCGCATCCTCACTAAACATTTTTGCACTCAAGGCTGACACTCTACCATTTGAGTCACACCTCTACTTCCGGCTTTTTGCTGGTTAATTGGAGATAAGAGTCTCATGAATTTTCCTGCCTAGACTGGCTTCAAACCGTGATCCTCAGATCTGTCTCCTGAACAGCTGGGATTACAGGCTTGAGTCATCAGTGCCTGGCACATCATGTATTGTTTTATTAGTTTACATTCACTCGGGGGGGGGGGGGGGGTTATTTTATTGTGACCTTCTACACGTTTGCTATGTATTCCGATCAGTCTCACCCTTCTATAACTCTCCTGTCTCCTCTTCCTAAATCAGTATCATCCAGTTTCATTATTCTGTTTTCATACATCTAGTCTACACTGATACACTCACTGCCTGTCAATCCACGCTGTGTCTGTGTCTGTGCGTGTGCGTGCATGCACGCACATGCGCCAATTGTAGTACGTGAACTCAGGGCCTCATGCTTGTGCTTGGCTGATGCTCTACCACTTGAAACACAGCTCCACTATGGGCTTTTTTGCTGGTTAATTAAGAGCTCAGAGTCTCTTGGACTTTCCTGCCCAAGCTGGCTTTGAACTGTGATCCTCAGATCTCAGCCTCTTGGGTAAGCTAGGCTTAACAGGCGTTGAGCCACCAGCGCCTGGCTTTCCTAAAACAAGAAAAGGTATGTTCTCTCACGTGATGCACACTCATTCATGGAGAGGTGACTGCACAGCTGCACGATTGTGTTGTATAAACCTATCCAGAAGCACGGTCCTCTTACCATCCTCCAGGGTGTTCTGTGTCACGTGGTCTGACATCTGGCTAGCCCCCATGGGCATGTAGGCCACAATGTAGAAAGTGTAGTTGCTGGCAGGTTCTAAATCATCAATAATGTAATGGGTTGTGTCATTCCCAAGAACTACTTGATATTCTTCATTATTTAAACCTAGAGGGAAAGTCCACTTTTAAAAATTACACATATTCCACATAACATGAGCAAGACCATTTTCCCTGATAATGAAACACAAGGGGCGGAGTCTGGCCCTCGTCTGTGTCTGCTCTGGGGCTTGCTGCCTTCATGGCACACACCGTTTTCACAGCACTTCATTGTTTCCCTACAAGTAATCAAGCGATACGTCTTGCTATGGACCACATGTCCGAAGGCATACGTCTTCTCTCAACTTCATCTGCCATTCGGTCCAAAACACGGGGCAGAGACCAGAGTCCACGTACAGAGACACATCATCATGGCAGAACGCGGGGCGGGGTCCAGGCTTACACCAGTGGTTTCTTTTTCTTTTGAACAGAGAGCCGGTAGGGGAATGTGAAAACTCTGTTCTTTAGGAAAACAAACCAAAGCAAACGAAACTTGTCTGACACAATTTGTTCTGTGATTTACACCGAATGCAAAGGAATTGGAAGTCAATGTCCCACAGTGAGAAGGGGTTTGGGGGGGTAGGGTGGGGAGGGAGGGAGAGATCCTCAGCAGTTCTCAATAAAAATATGCACTGTGAGGTACAGAAGAGGATTTGTCCACGGGTTTAATTCCTACAGAGCAGACTATAACGTGGGACACCAGCAGCCACTGTGTCCCTCGAACAATTCCCAGCCAAAGCTTGTCAACTTAATCAAAACTCTCTAGCGCCGGATTGATAAACAACACAGAAGGCACATTCCAGTATTCAGTTTTCCCACATTTCTGAATTAACTTGATAGCATTTTAATTAGACAAGATTACAGGCATTTCACAACAGACAGGCTAATGGCTCGTTAATTAGGACCTGTCTAGTACGATTTCTGACCTACCAAACAAGGTCCTTGAGTTGGAATTAAAAGGCCTGTTCTTTCTCTTGAATAGAGCATACTGCCACATGCAGAGCCCTAATGAAACACTCATAATAGGGAACCGAGAGGCCCCCACCAATCCATCCCCCCTCCCCCCTCCTCAATCACAGCAAGGGGAATTAACACACTCCACCCAGCTCAGTTATCAGACCCCCATTATTCTTGCTGCCAGGACCCCTGATTTGCATTCAAAATATTCCTTTTCAAAACACTACTTCAAAGTGCCCAAGACCCAAACTGCACCACCAACAAACCACCTGTCTCCAGCTAACTTTAACACATGGCCATTCTTTGGGGGTTTAAAACGTTATATGATATATAACTATAGAATATATCATATAATATGTTATATATTTATATATTAAAGTATACATAATGTATACTAAACCCCAGGGCAAAAATAGGTGTGTATATATAGACATACCGAAATTATATATCATATAAACTAGGCTGCCTACTGTATGGAACTAGAACATGGAGACCATAATTTCTATGAAGAAAATTCATGAAGACTAATAAGTAATTTTATTTTTCTTTGAAGATATTGGCCAAAACGTAGAAGAATTAAAAAAAAAAAAAGATGCCCAAGAATGGAGCCAATATTTTAAGTAAGAATTGGTGTCATTACTGGGGCTTGAACCTAATTAGGGCCTTATGATCTTGCTTGGCTTTTCTGCTCAAGGCTGGCGTTCTACCACTGGAGATATACCACCATTTCCAAAATAAAATTTTTTTGAACAGCAATTTGATACTTAGTTTTATATAGTAAATGATATACTAGTAAAGTGTCTTGTTCAATATCCATAGAGTTTCCAGATGATGACAGAAATGATTCAAAGTCTATATAGAATATGAGGAGAATTTGATGCTTGCTTTCCTGCTTAAAAATAACATGCTCCAGTGTCTACAGTTTATTTTTTTTACTCAACAGTCCCATAGCTGGTCCTGGTAACTGCTATCAACCTCACGTCAGGAATTTATACCCCGGTGGCATGAAATTCCTAAGTACATGACTGTCATCTCCAGCAGGCAGATGCTTCATATTAAATACCGGTACTTATTTCTAAGCAGAAAATCCTAAATGAAACTCATATATACAGAATATTATCATATCAAATTTAGAAAAAAAAAAAAGAACAGACTCATGGGCAATCATTTCAAAAATATACAATTTCAAAAATATCTTGGGGGTATTACATAAGACATCCTTCACTCTGAAAACCAATTCCGTGTGCACATGCACGTGTGTGTGCGCGTGCCCGCGCAAGCACATCAGTAACGGGAACTGAACTCAAGGCCTTGAGCCATCTGTTGTTTGACCTTTTTGGCTCAAGACTGGCACTCTACTGCTCAAGCCAGCCACCACTTCCAGCTTTTGCTGGTTAACTGGAGATAAGAGTCTCACCAGGGGGGCTGGGAAGTTGGCTCAGTGGTAGAGCGCTTGCCTTGCATGCCTGAGGGCCCTGGGTTCGATTCCTTAGCACCACATAAGCAGGGGGGAAAAAGCCGGAAGTGGTGCTGTGGCTCAAGTGGTAGAGCGCTAGCCTTGAGCTGAAGAGCTGAGGGACAGCGCCCAGGCCCAGAGTTCAGGCCCCACAACCGGACCAAAAAAAAAAAAAAAAAAGTCTCACCAGGGCTGGGAATGTGGCTCAGTGGTAGACTGCTTGCCTTGCATGCATGGGGACCTGGGTTCAATTCATCAGCACCCAGAAAAAGCCAGAAGTGGTGCTGTGGCTCAAGAGGTAGAGAGCTAGCCTTGAGCTGAAGAGCTGAGGGACAGCGCCCAGGCCCAGAGTTCAGGCCCCACAACTGACCAAAAAAAAGGAGAGTCTCACGGATTTTATCTTCTTTGGGCTGGCTTCAAACCACAATCCTCAGATCTTAACTTCCCGAGTAGTGAGGAGGCTCACAAGCATAGACACCAGCTCCAAGCTCAAACCCCAAGTCCTGGCAGCGGGGGCACCTACCCTGCACTGCATGCGCCGCTTACCTTCTGCTTTCATGTAGTGCACGGAATAGGCGATGACCTTGTCTGAATTGTACAACGGCCTCTCCCAGGCCAGGAGGATGGCGGAGCTGGACATGGTTTCGGCGTGCACGTTACAGGGGGCGCTCGGGCTGTCCTCCGACATCACAACGGTCAGCCTGGCTCTGGACAGAACAGACCCTTGGCTGTTCTCAGCCATGCACTGATAAATAGCATCATCCTCGGGAATAATCTGGTTAATTACCAGCTTACTGAGGAAAGAAAAGAAAACCGTTTAGGATAATTTAAAAAAAAAACAAAAACAAACCCTGTAAGAATGAGTCTAAGAGGCTGGGTCTGTGGCTTGGTGTTAGTGCTTGCCTAGCATGCATGAGGCCCTGGGTTCCATTCCTCAGTTCCACAAAAGCAAAAAATAAGTAGATACAATTAATGTTTTATAAAAATTAATTTTTTTTGCCAGTCCTGGGGCTGAACTCAGGGCCTGGGCACTGTCCCTGAGCTTCTTTTGCTCAAGGCTAGTGCTCTACCACTTGAGCCACAGTGCCACTTCTGGCTTTTTCTCTGTATGTGGTACTGAAGAACCAAACCCAGGGCTTCATATATGCTAGGCAAGCACTCTACCACTAAGTCACATTCTCAGCTCTTGATGATTATTGTTTTTTTAAATAAGGTCTAATTATGTATCCCAAGCTGGTCTTGATCCTCCTGTCTTTAGTGAACAGATTGTATATGAACACTAACCTACCTGGCCAGGTTCTCTTTACTTTAAGGTTAATAACTAAATTTCCTTTTAAAATTTGGTCTTTCTGGACTGGAGAGCATTGGACAAGATCAAGGTTTTGAGTTCAAACCTCTGAAACCACAAAAAAAAAAATACTCTTACTTTTGACCTTTATTAAGAAAGTACATTCCGCTACAAAATCATTTAACTAATACATGATGATATACACATAAAACTTGGGTCAACAAAAATTCCCAAAGTTTCATTTAATATAAGCGAGAATAGTTTAAGAATTTATGTTTACACTAATAAAATTACACTGTCAGGATCATCTGGTTTTTGTTGTTGTTGTTTGAATTTTGTTTTGTTTCCTACAGGTACAGGGATCTGAACTCAACACCTCATGCTTGCTCAGCTCGTTTGTTGACTGGCATGCTACCACTTGAGTCAGGTATCCAGTCCAGCTTTTTGCTGCCTATCTCAGAGCTAGGAGTTCCACAGACTTTTCTGCACAGGCCAGCTTCCAACCTCTATCTTCTATCTCAGACTGCTGAGTAACTAGATTACACCAATGTATGGCTTCAAAGTCACTAAGTTTGAACGATATGGTATAATTCTTGTTTTTTGTTTTTTTGTTTTTTCAGTCATAGGGCTTGAACTCTGGGCCTGAATGCTATCCCTCAGCTCTTCAGCTCAAGACTAACGCTCTACCACCTGAGCCACTGCACCACTTCTGATATGGAATGATTCTATAGCATAAATTGTTTAATTCTAAGTTGCTCATCTGATAGAAGAAGGAACTGAGAGCCCAAAGAGTTGCTATGTTTGATTGTAGTAGCACAGCTAGAGGCCCACCAGGAGAGAACCGCAGATTAGGGAATTTCCCAGCATTCCTTTGGGTATGATCTACTACTGCTGTGTTTTACTACTATGATGATGAAAAAGGATTTATGGGACACTAACGACGTTGGGTATCTCAAGTTTATTTCCACTTAAAATTTAGTTTTAATTCTTAAGCATTATAATCATTTCAAATTTTAAAAGAAACATACAATAGTCACAAAATGATATGGCTCACCTGTTGTACATTTTAATTCTCCCATTGGAATGGATCTTCCTTCCGTTTTTCAACCAGGACATCTTAGGCGAGGGGATTCCTTCTGCCTGGCACACAAACCGAGCAGTGCCAGCTCGAGGTCTCGTTAAACTCTCTGGCCATTCCACAAATGAAGGAGGAGCTATTTTTAGGGGGGGGGGGAACATATTCTGTGTTCTTAATAGGAACAAATCAGAATGAAGTCAGTGGAAGAAACCTGCCCCGTGTCTGAAGCTGTCTGACATCCGGAGCCTCCTGTCTATAGCCCTGCATCTCTCTGGGTAGCTGTTCCTCTGCATTGCTCAGTTTGTGTCCACTTCCCCTGCTGACACCATGGACAGAAATGACACTACAAGTATGGTACCCACACTTGCCAATTAAACCCCAGAGGGTGTGTGTGTGTGTGTGTGTGTGTGATGTGTTTATTTTTATTTTTTGGCCAGTCTTGGGGCTTGAACTCAGGGCCTGGGCACTGTCGCTCAAGGCTAGCACTCTACCACTTGAGCCACAGCTCCACCTCCAGCCTTTTCTGTTCATGTGGTACTAAGGAATCAAAACCAGGACTTCATGCGTAGGCAAGCACTCTACCACTAAGCCACCTTCCCAGCCCATAGCCCAGGTATATATTTGTGAGTGAATGCATACAATCAACAGATTAAAGCTTCCCACTGGCAAATGGGTGCAGATACTTGTGTGAGGAAGAACAAAGGGAAGCTTGGATAAGCAATAAAATGCTCCGTAGGCAAACAGGGAGAATAACTCTGTAACTATATTTTTACCGGAGGACTTCATCTTTTCCCTAACATTAACTGTTGGATCACAAGACTTATTATCCACATCCACATCAATGCTGCAAAACTCAGGAACCATACATATAACCTCTAAGAGAGAGAAAAGGCCAAATGTGTAAATGTCAATATTCTCTTCAGGACAGAACCGAAGGAACCATACCTAACACCGTTAGGGTGGCCATGGCAACCGTAAAGTTACGCGTGCCAGGGGTAGTGGCCCGACAAATGTACACTCCAGCATGGTGCAGTCTGACATCAGATATCATGAGGTTACCATTTCCTAGTACCCGGGTGTTAAAGACGTCAATGGACTGGTGATCTGTGGCAAAGAGAAGACTTCAATTAAAATGGTGTGAATGCATCATCTGAAATGACAACTCAAGTTCATACTATCCAACAAGACACTGATCAAAAAAAGTATAAACATCTTCAGAGTAAAATCTATTCTCACCCAGGTGCTTATCATTCTAGCTTTTCAGGAGGCTGAGCTCTGAGGATCATGGTATGAAGCCAGCCTGGACAGGACAGTCCATGAGACTCTTTTTAATTTTTTTGCAGGTCCTGGGGCTTGAACTTTGCTTTACCTTACGTGCTGTCCCTGAGTCTCTCTGTGCTCAAGGCGAGCACTCTAGTACTAGAGCCACAGCGCCACTTCCGGCTTTTTCTGAGAAGCTTATTGGCGATAAGAGACTCACAAAGTTTCCTGCCTGCGCTAGCTTCAAACCACAATCCTCAGATCTGAACCTCCTGAGTAGTTAGGATTACAGGTGTGAGCCACCAGTGCCCAGCTTCCATGAGACTCTTCTCTTGAACTAATCACCAAAAAGCCAGAAGTAGAGCTGTGGCTCAAAATGGTAGAGCACCAACCTTGAACACAAAGAACCAGGCCCTGAGTTCAAGCCCCAGGATCAACACAGAAAACAAAAACAACAACATCAACAAAGAAGCTTTTCTCTTCACATGGAATTGCCAAACGGACACCACCATTTACTAGTGCCAAAAATGTCCCTGACTTGTAAAGTAATATTTTATTAGAATACACAAAGCAGGGGCAGGAGACTTCCCTTCTCCACACCATCACCCCGCACCCCAACACATACCAAGGCGACTCCAAGAAATGATTGGCTTGGGATTTCCTGTAGCCACGCACTCTAAAACAACCGTGTGGTGGAGAGACACTGTTGCATTCTGCGGGCCGGCTACAATGGTTGGCGTGAGGAAGGATTTAGACTCCTTTGCTTTGAGGAAGAAGACACAGAACACAGGCAAGTATGAGTAAGATATAAGTAAAATATGTTACAACACCAATTCTGATATACTTTTCTTTTCAGATATAAGAAATGTGTCAGAATTCTATACACTCCTATGATCTATAACTCATCCATGATACAATCCCTCTACTGCAGAGTGCAACTCAATGATCACCAGAAGTTTCAGAGTAAAGAGTCTGATGGATTTTCCTGCCCGCGCTGGCTTTGAACTGTGATCCTCAGATCTCAGCCTCCTGAGCAGTTAGGATTACAGGTGTGAGCCAATGGCACCGGCCATGCTGTGGTGTTTTTTTTTTTGTTTTTTTTTAATGTACTTTCTGTATTTTATAGTTTTTCCAAACAAAGGTGAAGTATTTGTACAGCAAATTATTTTTCTTAAACAAGTTGAGATAGCAGAAAACAAGTCAGTCTGGGGAAGGAGAATTAAAAGATTAAGGTGACCATTTTCCAAATGGATCGCAATGATATGAATTATATGAAGACGTTACTTGCTATGGAATACTATTATAAACACAGGAGAAAAAGCAATAGACAAGTGAATAAAATTCATAAAAACAGAACAAGATGCCGGTGACTCATACCTATAATCCCAGCTACTTAGGAGGCTGAGACCTGAGGACCCAGTTCAAAGCCAGCCAGGGCAGACAGGTCCATGAGACTTTGAGTGAAAAGCCAAAAGTGGAGTTATAGCTCAGGTAATAGCGCACCAGCCTCGAGTAAACAAAGCTAAGTGAGAGCAAGCGCCCCCAAGTTTGAGCCTAAATACTAGTATACACACAAAAAAGGAAAAAGGCAGTCTGGGAATGTGGCTTAGTGGAAGAGTTCTTGCCTCACATGCATGAGGCTCTGGGTGCGGTTCCTGGCTACCACATGAGCAAACAGTAAGTTTGAAAAGGCAAGAGCCTTGAGTGTGGTACCTGGGACGACTGTGAGGGAGGCCTCCATACTCTTCCGTCGGTGAGCTACCGTGGAGGCCACGCAGCGGTAACTCCCGGCATCCATGTGGCCCACATCATAGATCTGGAGCACACCTGTCGGCAGGGCCGTTATCCTGTTTCACAAAGAAATATAATTACACATTTTATTTAACATGGCCTACGACGGGAACGAGTACGCTCCATCCCTTTGACAATCCTAAAAGAGAACACCTGTTTCTCTGAGCTGTTCAGATTCTTGGGGGTGGTACTTGGCCCTCCCGCTTGCTAGGCTGGCTCTCTATCGCTTGAGCCACGCCTCCAGCCAGAAAGAAATGCTTCCAAGATTTCTCTGTTAACATTATCTTGGACTGGGGTGTACCTCACTGACAGTGTTTGCTTCGCATGCTCCAGATCTGGGGTTCAATTCAAACAACAGAATCACACATTCACTTTTTTTTGGGGGGGGGGGAAGGAAAGGCCGGTCCTGGGGCTTGATCTCAGGGCCTGGGCGCTGTCAGTCTCTGTGCTCAAGGCTAGTGCTCTATCACTTGAGCCACAGCACAACTTCTGGCTTTTTCTGAGTAGTTGATTGGAGATTAAGATTCTCACAGGCTCTCCTGCCCAGGCTGGCTTCAAACTGCTATCTTCGAATTTTAGCTTCCTGAGTAGCTAAGATTACAGGCATGAGCCACCAGTGCCTGGATTCAAATATTAGTTGGATTTTCTTGCTTACATTTGGGTCACTGAGGATCTCTGAGATATGAATAACTGTAGGATGGGGAACATGAACTTTATTACACTAATTTTACAGAGCTTTTATTTATTTATTTTTGATCCAGTCGTGGGGCCTGAACTCTGGGCCTGGGCACTGTCCCTCAGCTCTTCAGCTCAAGACTAGCCCTCTACCAGTGGAGCCACAGCACCACTTCCAGCTTTTTTCTTTTTGCTTATGTGGTGCTGAGGAATCGAACCCAGGGCCTCATGCATGCAAGGCAAGCACTCTACCACTGAGCCACCTTCCCAGCCCCTTACAGAGCTTTTAATTCCTTTGATCTAGCTGAAACTTAGTTAACTCAAGGCCCAGACCTTATTATGATTTATTTTCTTACTCCTGACTTTTTTCACATCATTTAGATTTATTAGCTGGGAGCCAGTGGCTCAAGCCTGTAACCCTAGCTACTCAGGAGGCTGAGATGTGAGAATCTCAGTTCAATGCCAGCCTGGGCAGGGAAAGTTCATGAGACTCTCATCTCCAATTAACCACTTAAAAACAGGAAGTGGGGCTGCGGATCAAAGTGGTAGAGTGCTAACCTAGAGCAAAAAGAGCTCAGGGAAAGCATTCAGGCCTTGAGTTCAAAGCCCCATGATGAACATATCCCCCACTCCCCCGCAATAACTTATTTATTTCATAAAGCTTTGGGCTATAAATTTCAGACTCACAGGGGCCCATGTTGGAATGTGGCTGTAGAAAGGCGATCTACTGGAATTCTAAGCCATACAAGCAACCACGCCACCAGCCCCCTCCACCCCCCCACCCCCCTGTGTCAGAGATGGAGGTGATTCTTTGCTAACTTTGAAATGTCTTGGGAAATGATCACCCCGTACATCCCTCCCCCATCCTTATCCTGCTCCAGCCACAGATGAAGTCTTCATCACTGCAGTGCCACCTTGAGGCAAACTCCACACTCACCTGTCTGTCGCTACAGGCAGAGCCGTGCGGTTAAACTCCCACGTGATGGCGGCAGGAGGGTTGGATGAAATCTTGCAGGCAAATCGAGCAACTCCGCCTTCGTGAGCCTTGGTGGACACCGGCTGAACTTCAAATGCAGAAATAGCTACAGGACAAAACATGACCAGTCTAACATGAGCACTGTATCAGCCCAACATACAGAACCAGTATTACTGGTACTTCTGTACTGAGGTGTATGGTCTGAACTTCAAAAACTGCTGTGCATCAGAGGAAAGGAAAATAAAGACAAAGTAGTCAGGTAAAAACCCTGGATTTGATTTTTAAAATTTTTACCCATCATGAAGCTTGAAACTTAGGGCCTGGGCACTGTCCCTGAGCTGTTTTGCTCAAGGAGAGAGCTTTACCACTTTGAGCTCCACTTCCAGTTTTCTGGTGGTTAACTGGGAGATGAGTCTCATGGACTTCCCTGCCTGGGCTGGCTTTGAACCAGGAGCCTCTGATCTCAGCCTCTTGAGTAGCTAGGAGTACAGGTGTGAGCCACCAGTACCCAGCTGGAAACAGGTTTTGAATTAGCTTTTATGTTGCTTTTGGCTGGTACTAAGGATTGAATTCAAGGCCGCATGCTTGACCACTTGAGCATTGTCCATAATGCTTTTTGGTTTGTTTTTCACATTTTGGTTCAGGATGGCCTAAGACTTCCTAAGATCTTCCTACCTCCACCTTCCAAATAATTGGGATTACAGGTATGCCCTGCAAATTAGACATCAAACTCAGCCTTGAATTAGCTTTTGAAGACTCTACTGTGCTTGGATAAAATATAAAAACAAAGTATTCCAGATAAGAGGAATACCATGAATACACACACACACACACACACACACACACACACGCACGCACGCGCGTGCAGCTTGTTGGACGCTCATACCTACAATCCTAACTAGGAAGGAGGCCAAGCCCTGAGGCATCACTGATCAGTCAGACCAGGCAGAAAAATATGACATTTTATCTCCAATAAACCAGCAAAATGCTGGACTGTAGGTGTGGTTCAAGTGGTTAAATGTGCTAGCCATGATCCAGAATGCAAGAGTATGAGGTCCTGAGTTCCGGTACCAGTAATACATGCATGCATGCATACATAAATATATACATAGCAGAAGCATATGCGCATACATGCATGTGTATATGTGCATATGTATAGATAACTGTATTGCTTACAGGTAAGTATATATGTGGCATATGTGCATGTAAGTGTATATAATTTTAATCAAAATTGAAAGGTTAGCCAGGAGCTGGTGGCTCAGGCCTGTAATCCTAGCTACTCAGGAGGCTGAGATAGGGCTGGGAAGGTTGCTCAGTGGTAGAGTGCTTGCCTTGCATACATGAGGCCCTGGGTTCGATTCCTCAGCACCACATAAGCAGAAAAAGCTGGAAGTGGTGCTGTGGCTCAAGTGGTAGAGTGCTAGCCTTGAGCTGAAGAGCTGAGGGACAGTGCCCAGGCCCAGAGTTCAGGTCCCACAACCAACAAAAAAAAAAAAAAAAGGAGGCTGAGATCTGAGGACAGGAAAGGCCATGAGACTCTTATCTCCAACGAACCACTTAAAAACCAGAAATGGTGCTGTAGCTCAAAGTGGTAGAGCACTAGCCTTGAGCAAAAAGATCTCAGAGACAGTACCTAGGCCCTGAGTTCAAGCTCCACAACTGACTGAATGAATAAATACTAGAAAGTTTGGAAACGCTCGTGCTATGAGTCTTACACTTTTCTCCAGGCAAGCATTGCTTTTCCTATTTGGATCCCTCCTGTCTCTTTCTGAGAACGGACCCCAGAGCCCTTGCAACATGCAACCTAGCAGGCAGTGTCTCTGCCACCAACACTGTGCTCCTTTTTTAAAGTAGAGTGCTTAAGCTCGGAAACTGAATGTGTTCTTCACAGTGGATGCTTGTGTCCGAGGACATTTCAGTCCACCGATGCTCGTGAGCACTGACAGACTCTGCACGGATTTAGTGGCCAGCACCTCAGGCTCTCTGCACCGCCGCTCCCAGTGGCTTCCTGAGGTGGACTTTGGTGCTGCAGTGGGGTTGGATTTTTACAAGTCCACAGGCTCCTTGTGAAACCTGATCTCCTTCCTCCCTCCACTGCGCCAATGTAAACCAGAGCCCACCAGCACCGGGGGGAAAGGAGTCGTTAAGAGGCCAAGGCCCTCAAAGGCAGGCAAGAAACAGGATCTCCAGAAGCAGGCCGTGCCCCCCCCCCCCCCGCCCCGCAACCTCACAAACACAATAAATGTAAGTGCCTATTTTATTTGTGACTTCCGCCTCTTCGTCGGGCCACTTAATCATTTGCTTCTATGATTTACAGTCCAAAAAAAAAAACACCAAAAAAACAAAAATCAGAAACCAAACCTATAAAAGCCACTTAGATGCAAATATTCTCCAACATTACTTGATCTGAAACTAACAGGTCAGCGCACTGTACACTGAAAAGAACACATGACTAATGAAACTCACACGCCAAGATCAGGGAGCAGTAAACTCATTTACTAAACGTTAATATTAACATGCCATCCACGTGGCTATGAGGTTGCAACGAATAAGAGATTTAATGCATTCTTTTATTTAATTAATGTACTTGATCATTATTAGAAAGGTGATATACATACAGAGGGATCACAGTGACAAGAATCAGGTCATTTCCTTTCGTTCAGTGTCTTCTGCTCCTCCCATCGCCACCCACCAGCCCAGCTCACTCTCATCCACGTCCATGCACTTTTTCACCTTCTTTGCCTCAAGTTCTGTCCCCTCCCCCAACCCTCCTGAAGATATAAATATGAATGGATCATACATGAAGGAGAGAATCATCAAATAATAAAACTTAAAATAAGAGATCTCGTTTCCATATCTTGGAGCTGTTTTCAAGATGTGTGTGTGTATATACATATATATATATATACATATACATACACACAACTTTATATAAATATAGAGGCACACAGACATTCGGCCTTTTTGTTTCTCTCCTAAGAGTATATCCTCTTTGGTCTCACTGTGTATGAGTACCTAGAATCCTGCATAATTCATTATATCCCAGTGCCTTTTAGGTCTATTTCCACATATCAGAGAGAAATTAATGCATGATTTTAAAACCCATTTGTAGTCAAACACGGATGGCTCAAGCGTGTAATTCTAAGCTACTCAAGAGGCTGCGGTCTGAGGACAGAGATTGGAAGGCAAGCCAGGCAGGAAAGTCTGTGAGTCTCTTCTTATCCCCTGTTAACCAGCCAAATGCCAAAAGGGAAGCTATGGATCAAAGTGGTAGATGGAAGAAGTTAAGGGACAGAGTCCAGCTCCTGAATTCAAGCCTCAGCACCAGCACCCCCCCCAAAATAAAGGTATAAAGAATCTATAATGACATAGCACCCCATAGGAAAAATCTTACTTTCCCTTTTTCAATGACATATACAATATTCTTATACTGAAGTAACTCAGTATCTTAAAGCAGGGTTCAAGCCACAGGGCTTCTATCCTTACAGTTCAGGCCCTGAGGACAGGCCCCGCCGCCACCCCCACCCCACCCCCATCCAGGGGAATGCTGACCCGCAGGACATGTGGCCAACAGTCACGTCTCCACACCTCAGCCCTCTTTCCCCAGACTCTCAAGAGTCTCCGATTGGGCGGCTCTGGGGAAATTCTTAACCAGTCTGGGTCTTAACTGGGATTCGCAAAGGCCCACAATTTTAGAGTTCACTTTTTAAGTTTTACACATACTGATTCAAAGTTAATTTCGTTAGGTATTCTTTGCGCTCACATTTCTTTGGGCCTTTCAAGCCCACGTTCTGCCTTTATCTACTGCAAACACAGTTTAACAACCTGCCTCAATCAGATCTGATCCGCCTGTTTGGGTCTTGGGTGTGAAGACAGCCTGGTAACTGCACAGGAAGGAAGCCCAAGAGATCTGGTCCCATCTGTCAGTCAAAGTTTCAGGAGGATAAAAACCAACCAGAGACACACCGCCAGCGGGACTTCCAACTCACTGCATCCTTCGGTCAGAGCGAGAAGATACCAGTTCCCCTACCTGGTCACCTTCTGCCACTTTCCTTCCAATGCACACTCAGCAAAGGAACAAGTGTCATTTTCTTGGCATCAATCTCCTTAAAACGTCCACCAAAGAGCCCAAGACCAAGACATCAGTAGCAATGTCCTTAAGATCAAAAGCCACGGTGCTTCAACACTGAATGTCTACCGGTATGAGAGGAACTCATCTTTAGTGATGGTGCCAATGTGTTTGGGAGGAAACGAAGAAGACTACCAGTGATGGCAAATGAGTCCAAATTTCCTAGCATGAAACATTTTCAGCATCAGTATGATGCTGTACCTTTGCACTGAATATTGATAGATGATTGACAGATGATAAGATGATTGGTAGACAGATAAATGATCAATGATCACTGACAGACTGATAGATAACTGATGGCTGTTACATGACAGGTAATTGATAGATTGATGATAGAAGATATATAATGGGCAGATGATTGATACAGAAGATAATTGATCAGTCACTGATAGACAAATGATAGATGATTGCTAGGTAGATAATTGATAATTGACAGATATAGGCAGATTAGGTAGATAGATAGACAGACAGATGGGTCCCCCTTAAATTATTACTAGGAATCCCTTAAATTCTTTCTCATCTGGTGTCATATCTGCCTCTCCATGTCCTTTACAATCTGGTCCTGAGAAGCTACTGAACTGTCTTGTCATCCCCTTGTTACTGCTGATCTCCTACGCCCCCTTTGTGCCCACTGTGAGCACAGGCGATGCTAACGAGAGCACTGGGCTTCCACTGGAACTTGGATGTTGGCAGCAGCTGCCACATCCGCTTTGGGACTTTATCCACTTCACCCTTCTTGCGGTGCTGAAGGAGAGTCAGGGACCAGTGTGGCACGGGTTCATGTGCCAAACGAAGCGCCTTTGTTTTTGCAGTTCGTGGGGAGATCAGGTACAAGAAAGACCTCACTCACCCCCAGGCCAAATAAAGACCAGCAGCCTGCCAGTAAGAAAGCTCTACAAAATTAAGTTCTCTATAATCCTTAAACCGCCATAAAATTACCACCACCATTTCTTCACTTCCTTCCTTGAGCTGATAAA